AGAGAGCAGCTCACCCTCGCTCAGAATCAAGGAAACGTGAGCCAGGGACAGAGGCTGCCGACTAAACCGGACTGTTCCTAAAGACCGGGCTGGGGGGAGTGCATGCTGGCTTTTGGAGAGTCACTCGGTAATAAGCAGCAAGACTTAAAGTGATGACTCAGTAATTTCACTTCTAGGAAATGATCCTGAAGGAATAACGAGATGTACACACAGACGATTTTAGGCAGAGAGGATCACGGCTCCCTTATAACAGCACGAAATGAGGGTGAACAAGTTAAATGTTCAAAAGAGGACGGTTAACTACGACAAGTCTGTATTAGAGGGCATGACACAGCCAGTAAATTTGGCCATTTGATTTAAAACCTGTGAAATCACGTGAGCATTTTAAGTCTTTATTGGCTGGGCCACGTTCCCTCCCCCCATCAGGCCTCATTCTCCTGACCTGGGGACGCAGTTTATCGGTGTCTACCTGGCATAATGAAGTGTGATGATTTAACCCTGAGCAGGGTTCCCGGATTATTTGAACATCTAAATGGGAGCAGTGATTTTTCAGAATGGTTACGTGTAATTTTTTAATAAGGAACAGAATGCTAACTCGTGTAACTTTAAAATAACATTTCAGAAGAATTTTTGATGAAACGGAACGCAAAAATGACCCATTAAATATAAAAGCAGAATACAACCTATAACCCCACTTTTGCACACACACACACACACACACACACACAAATACGTGCATCTATTTAAAAAATGCTTAAAGGAGTGGCCTCAAAATGCTACCCCAGGAGGTAAACTGTGAATTACGGGTGATTTTTGTCTTCTTTCCTTGCTAGTGTAATTTCAAAGGTTTCCACCATGAGCACTTCATAGTTTTTAAGAAGTAAAGATTTTCAGGAGATTCCGAATCTGCCGTGGGAAGGACACCGAAGGGAAAACTGTGACCTCCAGCTGCGAGGGCCCCTGGGTCGCTGTCAAGCTCCACAGAAAGCTGAGCGCCACCCCCGTGGGGCCAGGGTGTCCTGTGCAATATATAGCCCAGGGTCAGCCCGGCTCACGAGGCGCGGTGGCCTCGACAGACCTCTCCAGGGAGTGGGCGCTCTGCCACCCGGGCCCTATCGCGGTGAGATAATGTCTGTGAAAGCACTTTGCCAGAGAGAAAACTCTGTCCAGATAGGCGATTCTGGGGCTCACTCTAGAGAAGGAGGCTCTCAGAGCCCGTCCCACCAAGGAATTTCACACTCTGCCTCCTCCTGCAAACGCTTCTCTGCGTCTCCCTCCCCTGAACACAAGTATATTTAGCAACCCTATCTAAATCCTCTTCTTTCCCTTAATTTGATTAAGGAGCTGGGGGAACGAGGGACGGGGTGGGGGGCGCGGCGAGGGCGGGCGCGGAGCTCGGGGGAAGATTAGCGGAGCTGCGCGGCTATCTCGGCCGAGTGCGGCCTGAGTGAGGACAGGACGCGGCCCCAGGTACTTAGTACAGAAGCTCAGAGGACGGAGGGCGGGCGCGCGGCCGGCGAGCGCGCGCGCGCGGCAGCCTCTCCGGGAGAGTGCGGACCAGATCCGGGAGGGCGGGCTTGGAGGATTAACCAGGGGGGTGGGGACGTTTGCTACGGGAGGCCCTGGAGTCTCTCTGAGTCTCTTCCAGCTTCCTGGAGCATAGGGTCCTCAGACCCTTAAGAAGTTCCAAGAGACAAACGTGTTGACCTCCTGCTATGTTTCAGGGACTTGCACACAGACCGACTAACTCATTCTGATTAAGGAAATTACCATCGCTCATGAGCTGATGCTCGGACGGAATACTTGGCCTGTAAGGAAGCAGCTGTCAGTGGGTGGGGAAACTGAGGCTCAGACTCAGCTCTGCCCGCTTCTGCGCTGCCCCTGACACGCGCTACCCCAGGGGGAAAACAGCAGCAGCGGCCAGAGTTTCTTCCCCCCCCCCCCCGTGTGCCTTACGATGAGTGGTTTTGTTTCGTCCTCACAATGTCTTCACCAGGTTGAGTACGATTTACAGCCCCATTTTACAGACGGGCAGCCCGAGGCTTAGAATGAGCAATGAAGCCGCAGTTGGAGAGCGGGCCCGTGGAGAGCCTGGGAAAGCACAGGGACGTCGGGTAGGAGGCATTCCGAGTGACAGGCGTCCCTGCTTGGTGTGCGCCTGGCTGCCCGCAAGGGCGGGGACCTGGCTTTGTTGATCCTGTGTGCCCGGCCCGGACACAATGCCCAGCGTGCAGGGAACGCTCGCTGGAAGAACTGGCGGTACTGGACGAGTTTGGCCCAGCGAGAGCAGCTGCTGGGGGCCAGCGCAGCGAGGATTAAGTGAGACATACTTGTCTCGGGATTTCCAAGTCTAAAATGTCACGGTGCAGAGCCTCAGAAAAGGCTCTGCTGGCAATGGGGATCCCTGCAGGAGGCATTAAAGGTGACCAGGACCTTGACAATGCGCAGGCCCAGGGACCGGGCTCCAGCTCCCTCGTGGGGTTGGATTCGGACCAAAGCGAGGAGGGAAGGCGGGTGGGGTGTGTGTGGGGGGGGTCAGGCACACACTCCCCTCTGGTTCCTTCCACAGGGTCGCCTCAAGGACATCTCCGGCCCCCGGGGGATGAAGCAGTACGGGAGGTGGGGGGTCCGGAGGGGTGGCGGGGGAAGGGCCCACTGGGCAGCTGGAGGAGGGAGACGTGGGAGATGAGTGGGTAGCTAACAGGGGCCTCAGGCTCTTCCTAACCCCGGCTTGAAAGCACAAAGGGCAGGAATTCGGTCTCTTCTGGAATGAACTGACACCCTCTGGGCAGGGAAGTCAGGCTTCGGCGGGGTCTCTCACTGATTAATAAATATTCAAGCCGCGTCGCCTCAGGGTGCGCTGCTCTGCACGGAGCACCCGGGCGGGCTTCGCCTCCGGCTGGGGCTGGGGAGGGAGGCTACCAAAGGGCAGAGAACAGAGCAGCCACCGAGATCCTGGGCCAAGTCCAGGCTTCCTGGCCCGGACTCAAGACGGCCTCGGCCCCTCTTGCAACAGCTCTCGGTGTCTCTGTGTGAGCTGCTTATTAACCAGGGGCCGGCAGGGCCTGGGAGGGAGCGCGGGCGAGTGTGATTCGGAAACCGAGAGCGCGGCCACGCCGTCGTCTGCCGTCTGTGTGCTGGAGCCGGCCTGGCAGGCTGGAGCGTCACATCAGAGGGTCCTGTGACCCTGTGGGTGGCCGGGAGAGCCAGGGGGTCATGACCAGCACTGCTGGTCCATGGAAGCAACCCATCAGCCAGGACGAGGGACACGAATAGCTGTGAAGGCGGCCGGAGGAATCCTGGGGTGGGGGACAGGGCCTGGCATGGACACCGCCCTCTCAAAGCAACACCGGGAGGGGGCTCCTCCAGCGCTGGAGGGACTCCGGGGCCAGCCTCCTTGCCCAGGGACTACTTTTCTAGAAGAGGCAGGCCCCAAACCAAATAGGCAAAGCCTGGGCACCCTCTTCCCTCCCTTCCCTAAGCCGCTGCTGACAGTCCCAGTCTACAGATTTACTACTGACTGGCGTGGTGCGCCAGTGACCCCTTGGGGTCAAACCAAGGACACAGGGCCACCCCCCTGGGCCCCGCACCGCGGAACGGCCTCCCGCCGCATCTGGGAAGGAACACGGCTCGGCCGGGCTCCAGTCGGGCTGCAGTGTTCCGAGTCTTAGGTTTCGAGTTGGTACCAGCTGCACGCAGGGGAAACGCTGGGGGAAGTTCTCCCACTTGGCTTCCTTCCACGTGGAGGCTCGCTAGAGGAAGAGAGAGCTTAGGGCTGCAGAGCCGGGGCTGGTGGCTTAGGAATAATGACATAAACACGGCCACAGGAGTCGGCCCGCGGAGGCCCTGGGGCGGCCGGGAGAAGCGGCGCTGTCCTGACTTCCCCTTCCATGCCGCGCTCTGCAAACAGAAGTGGCCCGGGCCTCATCTATCACCTCGGAAGCTAAACAACTTCCTCAGATGGCCCCGTGGAGCATGAACCAGGGGGGCCCGGCTTCTGAGGGGCCTGCACGCCACCGCAGCCCTCGGGAGGGCTCGCCCTCGCGATGCATTATTCTTCCTCCGCCTGCGTCCAGGGCAGGGTGCTGGCAAGCCATAATCGCAGATGAACAGGGCAGGTCACCGGCAGTAGGTCACTCAGCTCCTCGGAGCCTGTGAGTGGGGACCCTGTCACGTCCACCTCACGCGTCGGAGGTGGAAGTGAAAGGCGGTAATTCAAGGCGAGTGCTTAGCACGGGACCTCGGTGAATGTCAGCTGCCATTGCCCTGGCTGAGGGCTGATCCCGGGTACAAAGAAGGAAAACAAAAAAAACCCCCGAACTACCACGTCTCATTCTAACCCCGAACAGGGAGGGCCGAGGGCCAGGGCCTCGGTGCCTTCATCATGCTCCCAGCGTCTTCCTCCTGCTGCTCTCACGCCAGGCCGGGCCAGACCCGGGCGCCCTTGGCAACCTCAGTGGCCTCCGACTTGTTGACGTCCTCACGGCGAGTCCGGGCGAGCACGCAGACCTGCTGGAGCAGAGGCCGACTCCAACACGCCGGGGCAGCGGCGAGATGTAGGGCGAGGACCCATCACGGAGAACATGAGCTCAAATTCTCAGTGCCCCAAGAGCTGTGGTTTACACGGAGAACCCCCCCCCCAACCCCCGCCTTTTTCAGACAGGCGGGGGAGCCAGCTTAGAAATTCTTTCCTCTCACATACTTCCACGATGGCATCATAACGTGCGTCACAAACAGGTAAAGACACGTCAGCCCTGCGACTTGAAAGCTCTTGAATGTTAATGCCTTTGCTTCTGCCCGGGTGTCAGAACCTTCCTGACCAGGGAACTGGATCCGGGGTGACGGGTGACCCAGCAGGCACAGAGGTGACAGATTCGTGCACTGTGTAGCAACGCTGGGACAACCTGGGGCATGCAGCCTGGCAGGCGGGCGGGCTGGGAGAGGCGGCCTTGAGTACGGCGACCTTTGTCCCTGTTTGCTCTTGGCGAGGACGGGCACTGCCAACGCTGCTCTCTCTCTGCGTCTGCCCGGGGCTCCCGGCGGATCCAAGTGTTCTCGGGGCCTGAGAAGGCCTGACCCCCCGTGGGTGGCAAGCAGAGCCCTCTTAAGGCAGCCCAGGGTGCTCAGAACCTCCTTGGAGACAGGCAGGTGCGGGGCTGCGCTTCCACCCTCCCACCCAAAGAAATCTCTTCCCTTCTGGCTTTGTCCCAGCAAGAAGGCTTCTCGTTAACCAGCCACCTGTCCCCCAGAGAACTCCGTCTGCGCAGGGGCACTGCGTTCAAACTGCGGAGGGATCCGAGGGAATGAACTGGAGGACAGCACCCTGCCTCTGAGCTCAGCGCGGCCGACTTCCTCTGCACAGGGCTCGTCCCCTGGGGTGGCAGCCGCTCCAGCCCCACCTTGCTCCCTGCCCGTGAAGGCGTCCTCCTGAGGAACCTGTACGCACGCACATCCTCTGGCCGCCCAGGTGGGGCACAGGGCTGGCGGGCACTCCCAGCTGGGGGTGCTGGGGGCACTCTCTGGCTCTTTCACGGTAAAACCCTCCCTCCCTCCCTCCCTTCTTTCTTAATTTCACTGACTGATGCTGCTTGAGGCAGGCCGAGCCAGAAGAGCAACTTTTCTGGAGAAAAGTCTGAGGGTTTTCTCCCGTGGGGAGGAAGTCAGGCGCGGGTTCCCCATCCCCATCACCCAACAGAGGGCACCGTGCCTGCCGGGCCCCTTCCAGCTGGCAGTGGAGCCTGCGCCCAGAGAAGCATCCTTGCCTTTCACAAATAAACAAACCCAATCCATGTGCTGGAGGACTTAGGGTATATTAATAGCCAGATATTTTGTTTTCCTGTTCTGGTGCTTATCCCCCTTCCACAGTAAGAAAGATAAGCGAACACAAAATGTTCTCCAGCCACCCCCCCCCCAGGGAGAGGCAGCCAGGGGGCGTGAGCTGTCTGTTTAAAGCCATTGCTGATCCGAACTCTGGGAAAATAGACTTAAAAGTTTATGTTCGGTCTCTCTTGGCTACTGTTGCCGCTCAGCAGAGAAACTCTATATTGTTTAAACGCTCCAGGCAAATGGGTTGCAAGGCAACCTTCAAACAATATAAAATGCCCTAAACTAAAAATAAAGGCAGATGGAAAGTGGGGTGGTGCTTTGGTGAAGTGATTCCAAAATCGGGGTGAAGGAGAATGGTGTCAGCTAGCCAGCTTTCACCTCTGCTGATTGAGTCTCCTCCACTCCAGACACATGGGGCGCCCCTTCTGTTTATTCCTGGTCTCCGGGGTCTCCCCTCCATCGCCAGCGCATTTGGGGCGGGGGCGGGGTGCTCCAATGGCCTGTTATGTCAGGCTGCCTCCTGCCCTAAGGGGAGTTCCCGAGACTTGAATCCACCTATTTCCCATTGGCTCCCAGCCCCGACAGCACCTGGACACCCTGTTCCCCTGGAGTCCTCAGAAACCCAAGGAAGGGGGGTGCTGGGGCCCAACTTAGCCACAAGGGTCCCTGTACCACCAGGAGGGTCAGCGTCACAAATGCGAGGATGACAGCGGGGTTGCAGTGATGTGGCTGGAAGGTGGATGGAGGGGCCACAAGCCAAGGAACGCAGGCGGCCTGCAGAAGCTGGAAAGGCAAGGGGTTGGCTCCTACCCTAGAGCATCCAGCAGGACCCGGCCCTGTCCGTCTGTACCCTGATTTCAGTCTCATAGGCTCTGCCCTCCAGGAATGTGAGAAAATACACGTGTGGTGTTTGAAGTTTGTGGTCATTCGTTACAGCAACAGTACGAGACTAACAGAGCAACGGAAGACACGAGGATCCTTGGTAAGGACAAGCAGCCCACGATTAGTTCGAGGGTCCTCGGCACTCTGGCGCCGCCGGGCGACGGCCTGGGAGACTGAGCTGCTCACCTCCGGGTGCACTTGACCACGGACGGCCAGACCGTCAGAGGGCACCGAGTCAGCCGGGTTCTCGGAAACCATGGCTTCCTTTAGACACACAATCAAAGAAGCGCAAATCAGTAAAAAAGGCCGTCCCTTTTCTCCGCCGCCGCCGCCGCGGCAGGCGGGCCGGTGGATTACACCGCAGCCGGACCCGGGCAGGCGGACCCGGGCAGGCGGACCACTGTCTTCTGCCCCGACCCGTGGCCCCGGCCCAGCTGGTGTCGCTCTGAGAGAGATCAGACCAGAGAGGGAAACTGGAAGAACGAAAAATAAATCACCTCTAGCCTCCTACTCCAGGTTGCTGGCCAGCAACTACTGAAGAATCTCTTGGAAACACTTGAGACTTCAAGGCTTTTTTTTTTCCCTTTGAGCAGGTTTGCTCCCCGCCCCCCACCCCGCCCCAGACTATTTTCTGATTGAATGTCTCCTCTGGGCTTGCCTTAGACGGCCCAGGAAACCCTGTCTCAGCCAAAAGGGAGAAACACGCAGGATTCTCAGGCTTTCCCTAGCTCCTTGCCTCCTGGAAGTGTAAGCACTTGAACAGCACGACTTACTCTGTCCTCATGACATTTCCAGGAGACAGAAACCATCAGCCCCGTTTTATAATTCGCGACCTTGAACTAGAGAGAGGGCAAGCCACACGGACGCAGGCGAACGGCGCGGCGGGGCGGTTCGCCCAAACCGACCACAGCTCCCCCGCCCCCACACCGGCGGCCGCTACCACCGAACACGGGCACACCTCACCCCGTCTCAAGAAGTTAGAAAGACGGTCTGCAGGCTTCAAGGAAGAAGAAAACCACCCGGCTGCAGAGATAGATTAGAAGGTACTTCAAAAAAAGCTGTAATCGGTCAAATGTATTTCTAGACAAACAAGACGACTCAAAACGTTCAATACAAGCGGCTTGCAAAAGGTCTTCCCAGGCCTGACTGCTAATTTAGCATCAAACAGTTTTTCTCACACTGAGGAAGTCCTCCTACATTGTTGAATGACTTTATAACCTCATTCGACTTCTTGAAAAGAGACTTTGAAAGGTCAAATGTGCATTTCAACTTGCTTCTCATCATTCTGCATTTAGACATGCTCCTGGGACATTAAAATAGACAACACTAGTAAAGACGCCCGAGATTAAAATAGACTGCGTTATAAAAATGATATTAAACAGGACCGTTCAGCCTTTAAAAGGAAGGAAATCCCGTCACATTGCAGTGAAGATGAACCTTGAGGACATTAGGCTGGGTGAGACGAACCGATCACAAGAAAGTACTTATTGTCTGATCTCACTTGTACGAGGGACCCAGAGCAGTCAAACTCGTAGAGATGGAAGGCAGAGTGGTGGCTGCCAGGGGCTGGGGGAGGGGGACGGAAAGTTGTTCAATGGGTAGGGAGTTTCAGTTTTGCAAGATGCAAACCTTCTGGAGACGGATTGCACAACAATGTGAATATATTAGCACGACTGAACTGTACACTCAAAGGTGGCTGAGATAGTAAATTTCACATTATGTGTTTTCCACCACAATTAAAAAATTTTAAAGGGCAGTGTTGAATTAAAAACCCTAATAAAAATTTCATTTTTATTCTATTAAGGTATGACTGACATGGAAAGAATTTTCAAATTCGACAAAGAAACTTGCTGGCTGTGACTATCTTTACTTTTTATTCCTGCTGGAGTAATGAAAACAGATCACTTGGTTTAATTTTGTGATTATCTTTACTTCCTGGTTCTTGCCTGATTATGCAATGCTTTTGGTTACAAATAGAAAAAAAGGAAAGTTTATGCGCTAGTCTATTATTTTTATAGCAAAGCTCTAGACTGAGAAATGTTTCTACTTATGTCAAGTTTTTACAAAAACTTATTTCTAAATAAAGTGGAACTGGGGGACCTGGGCCACGAGGTCAGGTATCTTCCCTAAGGTCTACGGGCTGATGCTATTTTATGTTTCCAAGTGTATTCTTATCTTACCTGCTTTTACAATATACACTTCTTTCCTCTTTCAACAAACTTAAAAGGTCACAGAAACTATCTTTAGTAATACATAAAATCTTTCATAAATGTTGATTTTATCACATCAACTCCAAAATGTAACCACTGCTTAAAACTGTCTGAAGCAATTTGACATAAACTAAGCCACAAAGGACAGATGTTCATTATAAGCATGTAACTCAGGGAACAGCTACTATTCCACACACATACCTGTGCTTTCCTGGGTGATCATCTCTGTTCTTAAGCAATAATCATACAGATGCATTTGCATGTTAAAGGCATGATAACATCCATTTCCTATAAATTGTATCCTAGGCCTGATGGGTGTTCCAGTATTAGATTAATATAAGATATTCTTGAATACTGAGAATGAGGCTGTGGTTAAGAAGTCAGAGTCTTCAGACTATAGTGGTGACTGTTCATAATTGTAAAGCTACATTACATTTACTTTATTCTGTAGTTGGTGAACCAAGCAGGTGATACCGGGGTAGTTGCTGCAGGAGGGCCTCCTTGAATGGAGCTGAACGGCACCTGAGCCTAGCTCTGTAAAAGTCACCAATCATCTTGGAGACAGCTCCCAGGCTCACCCACCACCTTCACACAGCACAGCTGGCCCTTGCTTTCTGCGGGGTATTAGCTCCAGGGGCCCCCCAGATACCAAAACCCATGGGTGCTTGAGTCCTTTATATAAAGTGGCATAGTATTTGTGTATGACCTGTGCCCCTCTTCCTGTATGCTTTGAATTATCTCTAGATTACTTAAAATACCAAACAACATATAAATGCTATGTAAATGGTTGTTAGATCGTGTCTATTATTCTTATAGCAAAGCTCTAGACTGAGAAATGTTTCTACTTATGTCAAGTTTTTACAAAAACCTATTTCTAAATAAAGTGGAACTGGGGGACGTGGGCCAATGCAACCGCCACAGGCCCAACCACACAGTACACACCAGCACCAACATAACTTTTTTTTCTGTTTCCTGCGTAGGTTGAACCTGGGGATGAAGAACCTGCCGATTCAGAGGGCCGACCACACTTTGAAGTCGTCAGGGAAAGAAACTGAGGTCCAAAGCGATTAAGTAATTTGCTCAAGGTCACATTCTTTTGCTTTCATTCATTCATTATTATAGCGTTTGCTGATCAAGTTGCCTGGGTGCCGAAGCAGTTGACAGAAACCAATCCTGTATTCCATGTGTTTCCAGCCCAGGATGAGAACCAGACGAGAAATCACGAGTCCTGTGCAGGCCTTGCGTCTTCGGGTGACTGGCCTTCCGGGCGGATCTCTTTACTGGTGGATCCCTGGGTGTGGATCCCTGGGTGTGGATCCCTAGGTGTCCCCCACACTTTCTGCACGTTCCTACCCTGACTTGCTCATCTCGTCTCCTGTTGAGTGTGTGTGAGAGAGACAGACGATGATCATGTGCAAACACGCCTGCCTAAACATATGTAAGTGCACATGTATATTTAAGGGAGTGTGGGTCTGTATGCCCAGGACTCTTTGTCTTCTGGGTCGCTCAGGGATCACAGACCCCGGCCGCTCTGCTGAAAGACCGGCCGGCTCCTGGGGAATCCAACCCAGGCCGAGCCCTGGCAGTGACAGGACAATGTCAAGGGAAAATGCTAATGATTTTTCCACTGGCCGGTCCCATCGAATGTTTATATAACACCTTGATTAAAACAGCTCAAAGCAATATTCTAAGTAGCTGAATTATAACCTCATTTTGTAAACAGTGTATTTTAAGTACAAAAAGTAGTTCTTTTTCTGATCCTCATAATGTCTTAAAAATAATCCCTGGATATATTTCATAGAAAGACTAGAAGTAAAACTGTGAATGGTGGTAAACTCTGGGTGCAGGGATTATAGGTGACTTAAATTATTTCCTGTATTATTTAAAAGTTCTACAATTCAGCCCTGGCTGGTGTGGGTCAGTGGACTGAGCACTGGCCTGTGAACCAAAGGTCGCTGGTTGGATTCCCAGTCAGGGCACATGCCTGGGTTGTGGGCCAGGTCCCCAGTGGGGGGGCGTGTGAGAGGCAAGCACACATTGATGTTTCTCTCCCTCTCTTTCTGCCTTCCCCTCTAAAATAAATAAATAAAATTAAATTTCTACAATTAACTATATGAACTTTTCAGTTAGGAAGAATATTATGTAAGAAATTGAAAAATAGGCCATAAAAACTCAACCTCAGTCATAATTTTAAAAATAGCAATGAAAATAATTTTTTAATAATTTAAATCTTTTCTTTTTTTCTTTTTTTTCAGATTTTATTTATTTATTTTTAGAGAGGGAAGGGAGGGAGAGAGAGAGACAGAGAGAAACATCAGTGTGCGGTTGCTGGGGGCCGTGGCCTGCAACCCAGGCATGTGCCCTGACTGGGAATCGAACCTGCGATGCTTCGGTTCGCAGTCCGCGCTCAATCCACTGAGCTACGCCAGCCAGGGCTATGAAAATAATTTTTTAAGCCTGTCAGGACGCCCAGCACAGGTAGGAGACAGCGAACGAGGCCCAAACACACGGCGGCCAGGACCGCACACTGTCACCAGCTCTTCGGAGGACAATTTGGCAAAACCCATCAACATTTTATTTTATTTTGTTTTAGGATTTTATTTATTTATTTATTTATTTATTTATTTATTTATCTATTTATTTTTAGAGAGGGAAGGGAGGGAGAAAGAGAGAGAGAGAAACACCAATGTGCGGTTGCTGGGGGTCATGGCCTGCAACCCAGGCATGTGCCCTGGCTGGGAATTGAACCTGCGACACTTTGGTTTGCAGCCTCAGCTCAATCCACTGAGCTACGCCAGCCAGGGCAACATTTTATGTTTTAAAATATTTTTATTGTTGTTCAAGTACAGTGGTCTCCATCATCCCACCCATCAAAATTTTAAATGTACACACTTCTGAATCTAATCATTCTAAAATTTTTTCTTACAGATGTACTTGCATAAAGGTGCAAAGATATATGTAGAAGGATGTTCAACAAGGAACGTGTTTATTGCACTAGATCCATATACTGGGATTTCCTGCGACTAGTAAGAATAAGATAACTGTATATACACATGATTATAATTTACTGTTTAGTGCAAAAAGCAAGTTGCAGATCCGTGAATATAACCACTTTTGTATACAATTTTAAAAGACCGTAAATACATACATATGCTTGCATATACAATTAAGATATCTGGACTATTCTAAAATCTGACTGTGAAAACACTTCGGAGAGGTGAGAACTCTGGGGTAGGGGAGGGCTTTTTCTTTCTTTAAACTAATATTCCTTGATATTATTTGAATTTTGTTACACTGAGCATGTGTTTTCAGTCTTCACAGTGTTATTGGGACACAATGCTCACACCATACAGTTCATGCGTCCATTGTTTTTCAGTGTGTTCACGGACTTCTGCAATCATCACCGCAGCGTGCATTTTCAAAGTGATACAATTTTTAAGAGATACTCGGTAAGTGGCAAGAGAGTGTGTGTATGAGATATGATCAGAAAAAGTTTGAGCAGTAAGAGAATGCTACACGTAAATGCGGGGTAGGGGGTCATGAGAACAAAAGGAGATGGAGAGGGTCTGAGAAAAAAAAAAGAAAGATGTTAAAGCGAGTTTTAACTAGGAACATGTTAGATCTGCCCTTGCTAAACAAACACATCTGGATTTTGTAACAGATAGATCAAGGTGAGATATTCGGGTATAATGAGAAAAATAAAAGGGGCCCTGGCCGGCGGCTCAGTTGGCTGGAGAGCTGTCCCAATACGCCAGGGCTGCAGGTCTGATCCCCGGTAGGGCACGTCCGAGAATGAGCCCAGGAATGCACAAGGAGGTGGAACAACAAACCGGTGACTCTCTTTTCTCTCTCCCTCTCCCTCCCTCTCTCTCTCTCTCAAAGTAAAAAGAAAATAAACTCTTGATTTGATGGCACTGCGTATATTTGGATAAACCAGATTCTACATAAGTCTGCAGACAGCTGGATACCAAGTCTATCTATAGAAGACAGAGAAAAAAGAGTTTAGAGAAATATATTTATCTTGTTGCTAGAAATGTCTCCTCTCTTAGGAAGGCTGACAGAGAGACACTAATTCTCGAGCAGAGAGTCCTTTCTGGAGAGCGGTGATGCCCTGATCGGGTTAAGAGAGCCTGAGATGACACGGAGAGCTGGAGGGAATGCAGAGGCTCCCGAACGTGCTGACAAACCGAAGCAGAAGCCGTGCAGGAATATTCTGACTCTGGTCAAAGTTTTCTGTGTGTTTTTAGGAGAAGGCTGAGAAAACACACATCTGAAAAATAACGTTTCATGAAAACATTCAGCAAAACTTACATGTAATCTGTGTTACTTAAAATGAAATCACATTTTCTCTGAGAGTTTCCATGAAAACCTTCCTTGACACTTCGGGCCAAGATGGAGGCACAGGTAGACACACTGTGCCTCCTCGCACAACCAAAGGAAAGACAACAACAATTTAAAAACAAAAAACAACCAGAGCCGACAGAAAATTGAACTGTATGGAAGTCTGACAACCAAGGAGTTAAAGAAGACATCCATCCAGACTGGTAGAGGGGCGGAGACAGGCAGCTGGGCGGGGAGGACTCGCAGCAAGGCGGTGGCCGGAGGACCGGGGCGCGCAAGGCAGCAGCTGGCGGACCCCACCAGGTGGCGGCTGGCGGAGCGGGCGGTCCCGCATTCGCACGCAGATGCACTGGGAGAAACTACTGGGGAGCGATACAGACCTCGAGGCCCAGAGCTCCAGCTCCAGGGAATGATTGAAAACACTTGTGGGGGCTGAGGCAGCTGCAGGAGAGACTCCCAGGCTCACAGGAGAGTTTGTTGGAGACACCCACAGGGTCCTAGAACTTACACAAACCCACCCGCCCAGGAATCAGCACCAGGAGGGCCCATTTTGCTTGGGGGAAGCGAGGGAGGTGACTAAAAGGCGGCAGCGAGCAGAGCAAGTGGCACTGTTCCCTCTTGGACCCCTGCCCCACATACAGTGTCACAACCCAGCAACTGGGTTGCCTTGCCCTGGTGAACACCTAAGGCTCCACCCCTCACTACGTAACAGGTGCGTCAAGACAAAAAAAATGGCCCAAACAAAAGAACAGATCAAAGCTCCAGAAAAAATACAACTAAGCAATGAAGAGATAGCCAACCTATCAGATGCACAGTTCAAAGCACTGGTGATCAGGATGCTCACAGAATTGGTTGAATTTGGTCACAAATTAGATGGAACAATGAAGGCTACACTAATGGGAATAAGGGAAAACATACAGGGAACCAATAGTGATGGGAAGGAAACTGGGACTCAAATCAACAATGTGGACCAGAAGGAAAAAAGAAACATCCAACCAGAAAAGAATGAAGAGACATCCCGGCTGGTGTAGCTCAACGGATTGAGTGCGGGCTGTGAACCAAAGCATCACAGGTTCGATTCCCAGTCAGGGCACATGCCTGGGTTGCAGGCCACAGCCCCCAGCAACCGCACATTGATGTCTCTGTCTCTCTCTCTGTCTCTCTCTCTCTCTCTCTCCCCCCCTTCCCTCTCTAAAAATAAATAAATAAAACCTTAAAAAAAAGAAGGCACTAACTGAGAAGATGGGAAACCTAATAATGCCTCAAAAAAAAAAAAAAGAAAAAAATGAAGAAACAAGAATTCTAAAAAATGAGGAGAGGCTTAGGAACCTCTGGGACAACTTTAAATGTTCCAACATCTGAATCATAGGGGTGCCAGAAGGAGAAGAGGAAGACCAAGAAATTGAAAACTTATTTGAACAAATAATGATGGAGAACTTCCGCAATCTGGTGAAGGAAATAGACTTCCACAAAGTCCAGGAAGTTCAGAGTCCCAAAGAAGTTGGACTCAAGGAAGCACACACCAAGGCACATCATAATTACATTACCCAAAATTAAAGAGAAGGAGAGAATCCTAGAAGCAGCAAGACAAAAGGAGACAGTTACCCACAAAGGAGTTCCCATCAGACTGTCAGCTGATTTCTCAAAAGAGACCTTGCAGGCAAGAAGGGGCTGGAAAGAAGTATTCCAAGTCAGGAAAGGCAACAACCTACATCCAAGATTGCTCTATCCAGCAAAGCTATCATTTAAAATGGAAGGGAAGATAAAGTGCTTCTCAGATAAGGTCAAGTTAAAGGAGTTCATCATCGCCAAGCCCTTATTATATGAAATGTTGAATGGAGTTATCTAAGAAAAAGAAGATAAAAAATATGAACAATAAAGTGACAGCAAACTCATAATCATTAACCACCACACCTAAAATAAAAACAAAAGCAAACTAAGCAAACTAGAACAGGAACAGAACCACAGAAATGGAGATCACATGGAGGGTTAGCAACAGGGGCGTGGGAGGAGGAGAGAGGGGGAAAAGATACAGAGAATAAGTAGCATAGACGGGAGGTGGAAAATAGACAGGGGAGGGCAAGAATAGTATGGGAAATGTAGAAGCTGAAGAATTTATATGTACGACCCACGGACATGAACTCAACGGGGGAGGGGGGGGGAATGTGGGTGGGAATAGGTGTGCAGGTCAGAGGGGAGTGAAGGGGGAAAATGAGACAACTGTAATGGCATCATCAATAAAATATGTTTAAAAAAATAAAACCTTCCTTGATCACTGTAGACCTAAGGAACATTTTATAGAGTAACACCTTATTTTCCTTTCCCGTCTTTGAAGAGCCCAGTTTAAAAGTTGTGCAGCTGGAGTCATCTCTGGCACCGGGAAGGCAAACTACACTGCTTATCCCATGAAATCAATGAGCTCGGGTCCTGTGAGCTCTTATTTACTTAATTAGGGCAGTGTGGCGACTGAAGCAATTGTGCTAGTTCAACAGCAATAAAATAATGGAAGTGTACACAGGATAGCCACACCCATGCAAAACCTGTTTTTATATAGGAGTAAATGTCTGATTAAAAATAAAAGTCACCAGTTTTTTAACTAGGAAACTTCAAAGTAATGCTGGTGCAATAATTTGTAACATTACAAATTTAAGACCCGCCCTGACTGGCGCGGCTCAGGGGGTCGGGGGTCCTCCTGCAAACCTAAAGGTTGCCGGTTTGATTCCTGGTCCGGACACATGTTCTCCCTCCCTTCCCCTCTCTCTAAACATAAATAAATAAAATAATTAAAAATTAAGATCAGTGATATCTGATGAGACAGATCATCTTTAAAAATATTTTAAGCTAATAGTCGTTTTAAAATCTGTTGACTACCTGTTCAAAATCATTCACCTGGTGGCTAAGTTGATGTAATACTTGCTTACAAATCATGGAACAAGGAATCCTCAATAACAAGGTACCCTTCGAGGTATTATATGGAATATGTTGTGTTTTTCTATTTCTTTTTTTTTTTAAGATTTTATTTATTTATTTTTAGACAGAGGGGAAGGGCGGGAGAAAGAGGGGGAGAGAAACATCAATGTGGTTGCCTCTTGTGCGCCCCCTACTGGGGACCTGGCCTGCAATCCAGGCATGTGCCCTGACTGGGAATTGAACCAGTGACCCTTTGGTTCAAAAGCTGGCACTCAATCCACTGAGCCACACCGGCCAGGGCTGTTTTTCCATTTCTACATGTGCTTGTATGTGTGCGCACGTAACACAACATTTTATTAGAATTAATGTATTGTACATGCTGGAGACTGTTGCTAACAATACAGTGATCTCTAAAATGCTCTGACTATCACATCTTCAGAAACCACATAAAAATAGAAAATATTACTATTTCCAGTAATATACCATGTAGGACAATGATCAGACTATAATTCTTATTTGCTTAAAAGTAAAGTCTCCTTATCAAAAAGGTCCCCCAAGTCTTATCCTGTGGCTGTGACAACAAATTAAAAATGGAACTGCTGCCCTGGCTGGCATAGCTCAGTGGATTGAGTGCGGGCTGCGAACCAAAGTGTCGCAGGTTCAATTGCCAGTCAGGGTACATGCCTGGGTTGCAGGCCCCGGCCCCCAGCAACCGCATATTGATGTCTCTCTCTCTCTCTCTCCCTCCCTTCCTTCTCTAAAAATAAATAAATAAAATCTTTTAAAAAAATGGAACTGCTTATACCTTCAACATATGCACCATGGTAACTGAAAGAATGTCACTTTAATGAGAGTTAACACCGTCCACCTCCATGGGCTAAATGTAGATACAGCTGGGAGCCAACCTTGGCTTTCGGGCTTGAGGTTAGACTGGTCGGACTTCTATTGTCATCTGGACAGGTGGCAATAACCTTAGACGGGGGCGTCGGAGCCTCCAATGTCTGCTTTTAGATCTTACATCAAGCCACAATGAACCCTGGCTTCGAAAGAAATTTCGAATGCCAGAAAGCAAAGGTGAAGGGTTAAGTGCTTGTTATTTTTTATTTCTTAGATGCGAAAATGTTTCAAAAAGCAAGGACAGCTCAATTTAGATTACAAAAAGGCACTCTGATGAAAAGCAAATGTGTCCCTGTATGTATTTTGAAGTGGATGGTTAGAAAGCTAATATAGAGTTTGTGCTCTAAATATATCACTCGTTTAGAGGCAGAACATATTGCCGAGGGGGGAAAAACCTCTCCATCATAGGACTTATGGCATATAGCAACTAAAACGCTTCTCTACGCGTTGACTTTTCAGCGTTGAGGAATATTATTCAGTAGACCCAGAGAGAAGTCCTAAATTGGAAAAGCAGCTGAGCCCAAGGTCATCTCTCTTGTTTCCAAATATATCTTGAAACAAATGCAAGAAGGGCACTTTGCTGAGTGTTATCTGGACATATATAGTTTCAATCAAATTCTTCGAGAAGTGTCAGAATAAGAGTTGGCCGTTGGTTAGACACTGGCAGGTCCCCACAAGCCGAGCTCTGCAAGTCAGGCCGACGCTGTCCTCGGGGACCCGGCAACTGTCGCAGCAAAAGGAGGTTCTCTTTCCTCCTCTCAAGAAGAAAGAAATCGAGCACAGCTGAAACACCAGTTCTGCATTTTTTCTCACATTTTTTGATATATAGGAAATCATATACATTTATAAAAATGTCTCCCGACCAAAATAAAACTTCTAAATATTCTGTTTCCCAGCTAAATTCCTTGGACTTATCAAATATTTTTATGTCTCTGAGAATGTTACAGGCAGCAAAAAAGTGAGGGTTTGGAGGACATCGAGTTGTGGACTGAGTCAAAGAATAAAATGCTGAATCTTTGAATTAGTGTAAAAAATATCCCCCCAACACAGTGAAACAAATAACTGGCTTATTGTCTACGCTGTTCTTCTTTGTCATGAAAAAACAAACCAAACTTGGCCCATGACAGCAGTGTCCTGGGAAGACAATCTCTACAAAGTAGTGAACCTCTCACTCCGTCAAGGGTCTAATAGGAAGCAGGAATATTAGAGCAACTCTAATTACACACCAAACAGACAATGATTCGCAGTCACACCAACTCCAAACCTCCAGTGATTTAGGTTCCCTCCCTTTCCAGCTGCAACCCCCGCAGCGTGTCCAGCTTTGCTGGCACGCACCGCGGGGCACCCCCCCCCCTCCGCGGTGCTGCCGCTGCCCGCCCAAGCCAAACTCTACCCGGGCTTCCTGAAGGGCATCAGCTTGTACTGTCTCCTTCCCTGGCCTGCCCAGATGGCTCCAGCCCAGTGTTTTGTTTTTTCCTTTGAATTACCTTAGGATTATTAACTCTTTATTTTTCTTTTTTGATTTCAGAGAGGGGGGAAGGGAAGGAGGAAGATGGGGAGAGAAACATGGGTGTATGAGAGGAACACGGATTGGCTGCCCCCCGTAGGTGCGCCAGCTGGGGACCAGGCCCCCAGCCCGGACACGTGCCCTGACGGGAAATCAGACCGGCGACCTTCTGGTTTGTGGGGCAGCGCCCAACCCACTGAAGCACGGCAGTCAAGGCAGGACTGTCAGCTCTGGATCCCATTCCAAAAAGCTGAGTTGAAACTTTCAGAGACGCTAAACCCTCACAAGAAGGTAAAGAAGTCTAACAGAATTCTGATTTTGCTCATGAAAATTTTGACTTCTGAAACAGCAAATAAAGGTTCTGAAATGCTCGCTGTTGTTTCATGTATTGTCCGTCCTGTG